AAATTCTCCAGGGATTCGAAGATTAAATGCAAGAAGTTTTGAAATGACTTTATTGGCAGGCCTGGGAATTGAGAGAACATGTTTGCATGGCATCTGAATTAAGTTTGAGAAATTGGCTCAAATTAAATAAGTACAATTTTATATAAACGTTTTCTGATACCCGGGTGGCACAATCTGCCCTGTTAGCTGAGGCTCAGGTGGGTAAAACTCTAAGGGTTATATTGCATCACAGTGAAGCTAATGTTTAAGCCTCCAGAAGAAGAATGTTGACTTTGCACCACGTGTCACTGAGTGTAGGTTTGGGTTTTTGTTGTCTGCAGCTGGATATATGCATGTATGCAGTAATTTACAGCATCAATCTCCACAGAACAAACAGTACCCCCTCCCCCATGGAAACACTGGCCAACTGAGTCCTGCGGCCCAGACCTTTTTCTGCAATCCTTGCATAGTCTCTGCTGGTTGAGCTGTCTGTGTTCACCTGCTTTTTAAAACCCTGTTCATTCATTGTGCAGCGACTCGCCTACCTTACAGTGTAAGGATGCACTTATTTATACAGGTGTACATTGTAACAAAGTACTTCTGGTTGGATGCTTGGCAAAGGGGCAACTTCCATTTAGAGTTACAGCAAGAATAAGATCAATTTCAAACTGAGGTTAACGGAAATAAATGATCTGTTTGGGGGTTTAATCAATTAATGCAGCATATTCTGGAATTATGAAGGAAAAATGGATCACACTTATGTGCACTGTATTGAAATGAAGTGCATCACTTTGGAAAAAAACATCTGCTAAATAAAATGTCCATTTACTAAAACAAATACACTGCATTTCCAACCTGTTTTTGTCTGTATGAATGAGTGTAATTTGTCTGCAGCTCAAAAGAAGCATGAAACGTTTGAATAGGACATCATGGTTCTGATGGGCCTTTTATGGGAGGGAAGGGCCACTGTGTCAGTCATCTAATGACCTCCAAAAAGGAGGTGTTTACCTCTGGAGGGTGAAATGCTGTCTACATACAGCAGGGGCGGCCAATCTTATCCGCAAAGGGCCGGTGTGTATGCAGGTTTTTGGGATAACCTGTAGGTCAGTTGTTCAAACCCAGGTGTGAGGACTCTTCAGCCAATCAGTCCTCTAATTAGTAATCCAATTAGGGAGTTGCAGAGAAAACCCGCATACACACCGGCCCTTTGCGGATAAGATTACCCACCCCTGACATACAGGGTTAAAGAACACCTGACTTTCTATCCATTTCCTGTTTTGTTACTTTGGCTGTCCAGCATTGCCGTGCTTCTATCTGTCTGCCCAGACAATCTCTGTCCCTGTACAGAAAGAGCAGGGGTAACTGCTCTTGCTGCAGCAGACACTGTCCATATGCTTAAATGCCCTGGGAGAGGCAAGCAGGTGTGCAGGAACGGCCATCAGCAGTGGGTAAATTTGCAGAACTAATCTGGAGGAATCTGAAAACTCTACACTAGCTTTGTGCTCCACATGAGTGTGAGCCTGGGAATGGGCTTCGGCGGTGACTTTAAAGAGCTACTGATGACGTCCGTTTGATTGGGATCTTTAAATAAGGACTCTAACAAATGGCCACCAGAATGAAAACTGGAGCCCTTTTTCAAGACACAAAGTGCATTCAGCTAAAGGTCAAATGAATACATCCATGATGGATTGTTGTGCCTTCTTTTCTGTCCGTCTGTTTTGCTGTTTTAATATGCTTAAAGTGCTGCAGCTTACGTTATCAGTTAGTGCTCTAACATAGTCAGCAATTGCTGCAATCATAGTAAAAAGGTTCTCTGTGTATTGAAGGATTGGTAATTGTAAAATGGGGTGTTATTCTTCACTGTTGAAATTATTCTCAGTCTGTTTTAGTCATTCTCAATATCTAGAAAGTATTGAATCTATATCGCTCATGGGAGGACAGTTTTGAGGACAGAATGAAAAATGATTGGTTCAGAGACACAACCAATCAGATTGTACAGAAGGTGGGTCCAAGCGACTAGAGGAGGCAGGACCAACCAATCAGATGTCTTGGTCCTGCCTTCTTTAGTTGCTTGGACCCACATCCTCTGCAATCTGATTGGTTAGCTGTATCAACTTTAAACAGAATTATTGCTGTAGACCCCAGGAATAATTAATAGATAACTCAAAGGACATTTGAAAGCAAAAGTTTTCCGATCTGACCATAGTTGTGCAAAACTGGCCAACACTCAGACTAATTATATTAATTTCCTCTAAAACGTATCTGCAAATGATTGCAGATTGCAATCAGACTAACGGGAGAGGAGATATCCTGAAGACTCTATTGTACCCATTCAGACAGGAAGTGAAGTCAAGTGAAGCACCATTTCCTCTTCACGTATTGCGTATTATTACGATGACGGACCTTTCAAGAAGAATACTTCCTGGAATTTTAATCTTTTATAGGGTTTGATATTTCACTTTGGGAAGATTTCTATTTACTGTCTCAAACATGTGGTAACAATCCAAAAGTTTCCTAGGTTACCTTTTAGGTGATTGTTTATGTTCTGTATGGTTTGACCATGTTACAAAAAGCATAGAGACTCACTGAGTGGTTCGACTGGCATGGTGATGGTGTGGGACTGCACACTTTTTTCATTTTGAGTCCATAACCTTTAGAACTTTTAAATATTGTGAAAATAATATTTCATCAGAAACTTGCAGGAACCATAATTTGAGCAGGATTTTATTTCTTTAAAAACAAAAAATAGCAAAGTATAAATGGATAGTACTTAAGTATTTACTGAACCAGTATTTACAGTTACTGGAAGAGTCATTTCAGATTTCCCCCCAAAGTGGTGGAAATGGAATCCTAGGTACAGCCCTACTAATGCTACAGAGTTGAATAACTTTTGTTCTGTGGGGGTATTCTCTGCCTAGATGCCCGTGGCATTTTTCTGGGCTATTTACCATGAGTTACTCACTCCCACAGGTGGATAACACCTGGTGGTCACAGACTGGACCCACACACACGTGTGTGTTTATGTGCAAATGAAAAGGTGCTCTGGACCTTGATAAATTACAGCATTATCTCCACGTGCCAGGGCAAATGGAAGAATCTAGAATCAGATATACAGAATGATTAAAGAATCCCAGAATGCATTATTTATTTTTCTTTGTCATGAAGCATATTGTCTGGTTCTTTAAAAATACACGCCTTCCATTCAGGCAGGTAGATGTCTTGGGCGGTGTGGAGTCTCAAAGGGGTAACTGAATCCCTGTGAATGTGCACGGCAGTGTTGTGGGAAACCCGGTTCTGGCACGGAGATGCCTGATTGCTCCTTGGTTCCTTGCCCAAGCTGCTGATTGCCATCTTCTGATAGCCTGACTTCAAACATTGCGTGGAGGGACTGGAGTCTTTGCACAGGTGTGTCCAGCAGCAGAGTCTGTGGCTGTGAGTCAGGCCTGTGAGTCAGGCCTGTGTCCCTGCTGTGAAGGAGCAGCGCAGAATGGCTGTAGCACTTAGATTATCATGGTGCATCAATTATTACCTGTCAGAGCCGATATCAGTGTGCAGCTCATCCAATTAGGAGACAAACTCCAGGGGCGGCCAGGCTAACAGATGCTGTTCCTCATGTATATTATCATTATTACATCTCTCCCCCTGTCCTTCCATCTTATATCTGTTTAACCCTAGGTACCCAGTACGAGATGCAAGCCCATCACAAGACTATGATAATAATATTAATAATAATAATAATAATAATAATAATAATAATTAATAATTAATAATTGGGCATGGTGTATGTTCATTAACCAAGTGAATAATGTGATGAGAAATTTCTAGATGGCTCCAGACTAGGGAGGGCTGAACTCACTTTCCCTGGCCTGTGTGTAATCAAAGATGCTCCCTGATGCTTGTGGCTGTGTGTCGGAGGCCAGTGGGTTTACTACAGTCAGCCCACTCCACACCTAATCACAAACGCATAAGAATACAACAGCTTTGGAGATAAACAGGCACGACAGAAATCTGGGACTGCTTATGTCTTTTTTAATAGAAACGGTTTTTGTCCTTGTAATCCTGTGACCTAGTTTAATGTAATAGACTGTACAACTGCTTATAACCCATTTTAAATCATAATCCATTCAAATAACATATTTTCAGAGCAGACCAGCCAACTTAGGGATTTATTATCCACTTCAGTGGACAGCATTTTTTAAGCTGGTTTACAGCTAAGCATATGTGCCCCCTAGGTCAATAATGCACATCATAGTTTCAATTCCCCATATAGTCATTAAGAATAGTGACTAATGTTGATAGCATACAGTACATGCAATAAATCTGAGGGTCACTGAAACTGGTCACATATCAGGGCTCAGTAGAGCCGGGGAGCCCCAAGCTGACACACAGGGGCTGAGCTCATGTTTGCTTACGTCAATGTTGCAATTAAAGTCATTAGTAAACAACAAATCATCTCATCCTATGTTTCGGTGTCAGTTCTATATCCCATAATATGTGTGTTAAAGGGAAAAAACATGAAACAGGGCCACTTAGAATACTTAACGCTTAACATTGCTTTATAATTTCTTGTAAGCTAGATTCATCTTCCTGTTAGCTAAAAGGGGCTCACATTTTTAGACTCTAGATATACATTTCATAAAATCTTTGGCAGTTTGACTTCCCTGACATGCATGTTTATGAATTTGCTACTAATTTTGGAACATGAATAAATTCCAGTCAGTCATTGGCCAGATCTCTTGAGTCATAACTTGTGGAAAGTGTTTAAAAATATCAGCACTGGATTCTATGAAGGAAGAGCTCCTTCCCAGCCTGACCACAGTCCGTTCCCAGTCTCCCAGCCTGACCACAGTCCGTTCCCCGTCTCCCAGCCTGACCACAGTCCGTTCCCAGTCTCCCAGCCTGACCACAGTCCGTTCCCCGTCTCCCAGCCTGACCACAGTCCGTTCCCAGTCTCCCAGTCTGCACACAGTCCGTTCCCAGTCTCCCAGCCTGACCACACTCTCTTCCCCTTCTCTCACCAGCTATCGACTGTGTGCTGGGCCCGTGGGGGCAGTGGACACAGTGCAATGCGCTGTGTGGAACAGGGAGCATGGAGAGGACCCGGCAGGTGACCGTGCCCCCCCGAAATGGGGGCACGCCATGTCCAGACCTCAGACAGAGGAGGGGCTGCTTTGGGAAGAGTGAGCTGTGCCGCTCCTCTGAAGGTAGGGGAGCTTGGAACCAATTGCATCACGGACCCTCCTAATTCTGTGATCAAAGGCTGTACGATTCTAATAAGTACAGACTTTGTAATTTTTGACCTATGATTTCTATAAATGGTCTTAACTGATAATGATCCCCTTAGAATCATGACTTTATGACCCAAAGAATTCAGCTTGTAAGCTGCTTCAGCTGTACACCTTTGATAAAACTTGGGCTGTATTAATAATTCATTAGTCATATTACACAAAAACATTTTTTCTTACGTCACATGTTGGCTGTATTATCAATGATGGTGATGTGGTGATGGTGAATGGTGACATTAGTGAGCTAGCATGCAGACCAGACATGCAAGCATGATTTAGAAACATGTCTTCACTTACTGTGTGTGTAGGAGGAGACCCATACGTGCCACCACATGTAGGGGCCGTGGTGTGACAGTGCTGCCCACCAAAGAACCATCCACCCTATCATTATGAATAATAATAATGTTAAACGGAATGCTTGGGGCCAGAGAGCAGGGCAGCTCGTATCCCAGGAGCCATTGGGGCTAAGGGCCTTGCTCAAGGGCCCTCTGCTGACATGACTATTCTGCCAGCCAGGGGATTTGAACCCACAACTTACTAGATATAAGTAAAGGTCCACATCGCTTGACCCCGGCTACCTGTTAATACAGCAGCACTGGGACTAATGTTCAAGAAAATGAACAAAAACCTTCATTTCTGACCTCATTGGCTTAATTCCTAACCTCACTATAAATTATGTAAGAATGAAATAAGTGGATGTGGGGTGGCATGGTGGTGCAGTGTCACCTCCGACCTCTGGGACCTGCGTTCAAGTCTCTGTGTGTGTCGTTTGTTTGTTCTCCCCATGTTGTCGTGGGGTTTCCTCTGGGTGCTCTGGTTTCACCCTCCAGTTCAAAAACATGCTGAGGCTGACTGGAGTTGCCAAATTAGCCATAGATATGTGTGTTTGTGAGTGAATGGTGAGTGATTGTGCCCTGCGATTGGTTGGTGTGCTGTCCTGCCTTGTGCCCATAGCCTCCTGGGTAGGCTCTGCCCCCCCCCCCCACCCCACTCCAACCATGAATAAGACAAGTGGTTTCAGAAAATCGACAGATGGAATTAGTGGATGTTTGAAAAAGGTTTTTCAGTTATAGAGTGCAAATCAAAAATTCCACAAGGGAGCCAAATATTTTGTTCACATTAAAGGCTTCATTTCTGAAAGTAGCATGTTTTTAACGGAAATCTTTGTAGCCCTGGGTAGGTTTTCCAACAACAGCATAGCTTTCCTGAGGCCTTGCAGTCCCTGTTTTCATTCTCGGGAGCAGTGTGACCATTTCAACCCGGCTGCTATCCTCACAGGCCACATCTGGTGGCTCAACTTTTCACTGCTCTGTGCCAAGTCTCAGAGGACGCTATGTTTGTTTTCTGTTAGAGCACTTGTTATTTTCAATATGCTCTCTTTTACGTTTTGCTGGCTGAAAGCAAAGATGCACCAATACAAACCCTCTGCTTATGGTCAGTTCTGTACCTCCTTACAATCACCCACATTTTCAGTGATAGCAGTAAGTTTCAGATCCACTTGTTTGTTTCAGCACCTCCCCTGCTTCGCTTTCTGAATCTGTTTCTCTTTAATGCTGCCCTGCCCAGTTGTGTTACCTCAGTGTACTGTCCTGCTTCAGATATGCACCTCTCATTATATTCCATGTCTTACGCAAAGATGACTGTCCAGATCACGGATGTTTTCCCTGAATCTCTCTCTGGAAGACATTAAAAAGTAAGTAATGGTCTCACTCCCGCCCACAGAGGTGGCCAGAATTCTACCCGATTCATTCAAAAGGAACTTCAAGGACCCATGGAGGCGGCCACACATGCTCATGAAAGAGGTCAAGCACAGGTAGGTCCCATGCCTGAGCAAAATACACATGACGTCTTTGGTTAATTATATTTATCTATCAGTGTATGGTGTATTTATGTCTTCTTCCATAAAAGAACAGGAATAACCAATTGTATTACCAGTAATTTTATTATGTCTTTTGAACAGGAAATGAATGGATTTATATGAATATATGTGTACATGTGTTAATTGTTACCATGACAACACCATTTTATCCCATTAACTCCAGAAGGGACATACTTTAATCTGCACCAGCTGGCTTAATGCTGATCCCTTTTGATCCCCTTGTGTGTGGATCATGCACAGGGCAGCGATCCAAAGCAGTACAGGGTGACATTTGATATTCTTGTAGTGACTGACCATGGAATAATCGTGGTCCCCAGGGTATTATTGGCTTCCCACTGTGGGTTAGTCAGCTGCATCTGAATAACACGTGAATGTGCTCTATTAAGCCCTGAATAATGGCCAATTCTCCCTGCGTGCGTTAGTGTTTCCCTGAGCGTGGCAGCACGTAGTGCCTGGGGACAAACAAGTCATGCCTCTACAGTGGCGCTAGAGACCTGCTGTGGCCATTTAAAAACTGAACTCTGTGTTTGTTACATTGTACAACTGGTTCTTTAACAGTCCATTCTTGATTTTTTTGGGACAAAATGTGTAAGCATTTGGGACATTTGCATTGTGTGTTAGAATAATGGATGTTTGGCCAAGCTTATTCATCTCACCTGTTTTTTTGTATTTAGAGACAGTTTATTTATGCAATGAAAGCGAGCGAGATGCATTTCATTGTTTTCTGAAATGAGCCAGCATCTGACTGTCAGCATATTTGTACCATCACGACTGTATTTAACGGATTTTGCCTCATTTTAACTGCTTCATGTGGTAATAGTAATAAACAAACAGGCATCTAAGACCCTTGTGAATATGGAAATAATCATGTGGTTTATTATATTTCACATAAATATCTGAGGGAAATTACAGTTAACTGTCTGAGTTTCGCTGACTGGTTTACGACCATTTATGTTCAAACACTGCGCTTATAATGCTAATAAATGGACATTGAGACCTTGGAAAGAGGTGACACTGTTTACCATACTAGCAACAGAAAGACATATGTATTACATTTAAGCAGAAGGATGGTCAATCATTTAATCTATCTTGTAGGTGTGCTTTCTATTTGAATGAATGCGGTATAGACAAATAAAAGCAACAAGTTGATTAAAGATGAAAAATGTGATTCCTATTATATATTTCCTTCCAAAGTAGTAATATATCATTACTCTTCCTGTGAGTAGGATTACGAAAGGGGAAGGGGTTTGTTTGTGACAACTTAATGACATTTCTGTGTGACCTGGTAAGTTTTTAATTAAAAGTTGCAGCTGACAAGCTGTCCTGAACAGGAAAAACAAACGTGATCTGAGCTGAAATGGCACAGCTGTTGTCCAGCTCTGTTGTGAAAATGGTTTCTTTCTCTGTGCAATTGAAACGTCGATGAGTTCCTGAAAGAGGGAGGCTGTGGGTTTTCATAGAGCCCCGCACTGCAGGCCGCAGTAGGCTGTGGGTTTTCATAGAGCCCCGCACTGCAGGCCGCAGTAGGCTGTGGGTTTTCATAGAGCCCCGCACTGCAGGCCGCAGTAGGCTGTGGGTTTTTATAGAGCCCCGCACTGCAGGCTGCAGTAGGCTGTGTCTAACAGCTGCCTACCTTCAGCCCTGCCTCTCCCACCATGAGCATGTCTGATAAAACCTCCCCATCTTCATGTGCACATCCTACCTCTCCTTATAGCTTTGGTGCAGTCTGTCTGGTACAGTCAGTCTTCGTTTGTAGCCGCTGTCTCTGCATTCCCAAAAACACAAAGAGGAATCCTATTATTCCATTCATTCACATTTATTTATACCAGAACAAAAAGATCTTTAAACATTTGGCAAAAACTAACTACACCATAAATGTACCTATGGCTGATGTCTATACCTTTCAGATTACATAAATGATATGTACATAAATATTACTTTCTCCTATTTGCCAATTGGCCGCAATCCCCCCAGTGTCACAACTCAGTGCTTATTGTAGGGGGGACCCAATGGTCACATCAACAGCTAACACAGGTGACAGACCTCTGGGGTCAGACCCAAGCCTTTCCAGCTTGCGGCTGCTGATTCATGACAGGCTTTGGGGACCTTGGCTGGGGACACCCTGAATGGGAGGCCAGTCTCAGTTACAGATTAAACCTGTGCCCATCTTGAAAAACCATGGTTAATTTCATCCTAGTAATTCTCTTGTTCTCCTGCTTGCGTTGTTTCCATGGTTCACTAAATAATTCAGTGGGCCGTTCTTTTTATGCTTACCCAGCATCCTGGCTGAAAGAGACCAGACACCAGTCCTCCACTGACCTCTGTATGCTTATGCAGACAGGAAGTCACATTATAACTTGATTTTATATGGAGTGTATATGTGGAGGTTTCACATTAGTCCCAGTGTACTAAAGTGTGTTTTGGCTCTACTTAATGGAATTTGGGTCAACCCACTGAACCATTCTGCCAAAATCTAAATGCGTTGATAAATTCTCATATTGTAGTTAATTTCTCTGTGCTTAAAAAATCTGCCATATGATCTTGTGCACAGAGCATGTCTGATTGGTTTGGCTCAGGCACAGGAACAATAAAAACGTAGACCTCACCAATGACCTAATTCAGGTCTTTCAAGTATAGCTAAATATGCTTCTTTTTAATTCATATTCGTATTTCTGTGCTATCCAAAAGCCACCACTTTATTATAAGAAATTGTTGAAATTATATAAATGTAAATGTTTGCAGTTCTTTTACCCTTGAGAAGAAGCACGCAGTGGGTGAGAGGTTGTTTGGGTGATGAGCTTTTGCGTAGTTTAACATGTCTGTTTATCTGCATCTCCAACTTCAAGTGTACAGACAACATCTACTTCATCTGAATGGTCTGAACACAAAAGTCAAACAAAAAAGAGTGATGTCTGTTGCAGTCCTGCAAGAAAACTGCATGGAATGTATTACATTTCACCATTTTCGAGTCTGCTGAGAAACAAGCCGATCATTTGGAACAGTGCTTCTGTGTGATAAGGTCTCTGTTTTGACTGTCGTTGTGGTGACTTATCATGTCTCTGTCGGTGTGATTTATATGCTGCTGTCATGCTCATTCTTTTCCCCTACCTATGTATCACGATGTATCAAAATTTTACTTTGATATTTTAATATGCTCGTTTTCAGTACTGTCAAGGTAGCTATTTCATCAGAACTGTCTGGTGTGTGGAAAGCAAAATTGAAATAGCATTTTAATAGCATTATCCTGTATCCAAAATCTCCAAAATTCTCCCAAACCCAAGAGTCTACTCCTACTTTGAGTGACAGCTTGACACCAGAGGCCAGCCTGTGACAATGCCCCCACTGTCCTATGTCCTGCAGCTACTGCGTGTGGCTGCGTATCAGCCAGGCCAGCGCCGCCTGCCGCCGTGTCTCCTGGGCGGCCCAGCTGGTGACGGAGCGCTCCGTCTGCGCCGAGTGCCAGAGCGACGCCATGGACTCCACGGGCCGCTGTGTGGGCGACGGTCTGGAGGCCACAAGGTGAAACATTTGCCTCAGTGAGGCAGCCATAGGCTTCCTCTGCTGACAGAGCTACAGATGAGCTGCCAAACAGGAAAAACATGAATATTATAATATTATAGTGTACCTATATGCAGGGATGGATTAAGGTGTACAGAGGCCCCTAGGCTACAGTAGTCTGTGGGCCCCCCAACCCCACCCCCCTCCGCGCCAATGGGGGCCCCCTTGCAGGCTGGCACACGTGGGGCCCCTAGGCTTAAGCCATATCTAGCCTGTGCGTTAATCCGCCCCTGCCTATATGTTCTGTATACATCTCTACATAAGAAAGTGTTACTTTCCTTCACTGTATGTCTTAACTGTAGAATTGCTTGGTAAGTAGAGATGGACAGGAAGGAACTTCAGAGCTTGGAGCCAAAAAGCTTCTGGATTCCGCTCTTTGTACCCTTTGTACATTGAAAGCACTTAGATAGGAAATAAATTTGTATCGAAAAGGCAACAATCTTATAAAATGTTTTATTCTGAAGGATGCAATAGTATCCTACCTAAGTGACTAATATCAGACAAGCTCTGAATGTGAATGTGGCACCTTGCAGAACCTTCTGGATGGCAGTGACCGTTCCAGGCTGCCATGGCTCCTGGGTGCGAGTGGCCTCCCCGTGGGGCTGTCCCTGCCCTCAGCACTCCATGCTCTTCGTGTGACGCCTGGGATGGAAGTCAGGGGGAAGCGAATCCTGCCAGCTTCAGCCACGGGCACTGCGGCACGACGCGGCCAAGCGCTGTGCTTCCTGTAGGCCTACATGTCTATGCTGTATCACAAAAGCATCCTTACCAGTCAGGGCTGGACACACCTACTCTTAGGAGGGCTTTGCTTTACCTGTAACATTTTATTGATTTTAGATCAAAACTATGAAATAACATGTATGGAATTATCCAGTGAACAAAAGAAGTGTTGAGCGAGTCAAACTAAAATCTAATGTTCTAGATTCTTCAAAGCAGCCCCCAGTTGCCTTGAGAGCACGCCCTTGGCGATGTCTCGGCTAGTTTCATGAGGTGGCCACCTGGGATGTTCTTCCAACAGCCCTGAAGGAATTCCCACATATGCTGAGCACTTGTTGGATTCTTTCCCTTCGCTCTCTGGTCCAGCTCATCTCAAGCCAGCTGTGTTGGGTTTTGGTCCTTCTTTGCCAAACAGCTCTAACACAAGCCTGGAGGGGTGTTTGGGGTCATTGTCTTATTGACAAACAAATGACAGTAGGTATGTCCAAACTTTTGACTGGTGCTGTATGTACTGCCACAAACATTATGTAACCTGCATCTTCCCTAAGCACAAAATTGTTTAGCTGCCTTTTTACCTCTAAAATCTTGCTATCTACCTCCATAAATGCAGCTGTATTTAAATATGCATGTATGTATAAATATATTTTGCTTTATATATTTTCTTTTTTCATCTTCATATTTGTAAGAATGCTCCAGTGTTGAATCATCTTTCTTTCCAGAGGCTTTGGCTAACTTTGTATGCAAAGCGGCACATTCAGTTGTAATTCACTAAGTACCTGTTTTCTTGTCTGACTGATGCTCAGGCATGATAATCAGGAGGTTTGCAGGATAAAGGACAAACCCACCATTAGGACAGGCGTTAGCTTGACCTGTAATTAGAGGCTCTGAAGAACCAGAGTGCAACTTTGTATTGATCTTCTTTCTCTTCTGTTTTTAACCATCTGTGCAGTATTCGTGTTTACAGAGAAAGTGGTGAGGACACTGAAATGACACGTTTGGACCATGCAGAACTCCTGAGCCCTAATGTTGTAAAATCCCTGTTTCTGCCTCTTAGAAAACAGTGTTTTTAGGAAGCTGCCAAAGAGTGCTTAAAATCCTATCCTGTCCATGTGCATCATTGCAAAAAATTTCTGAGGTTAGTTTGTAATACAGTAAAATAATGAATCTTGGTGCAACTGTAATTACCTAAATTTCTGTCACATCCAGCGCCAGGTATAGAGCACAGTTTCAGTTTTGCAGATTTTCTTGTATCATTCCTCTATACCTGTTCGAGATTTCTAGGTATAACTGTAAAAATTAAGCCGTGTTTTCTGCCAGTTTCAGCAGTTCACATGTTGTGACAGATTCCGTTGACAGATTCAGGTATGCTGAAGCAATCCAAGCTACTTGGGGAATTTAAATTGTATGTATGGACTTCATACGTATGTCAGAAGAATAAAATTATGACCAGTATGGGTGATTATTGAAATATGTTACTGAATCCTGTCACTGGTCATAAATCCTTGGACACCTGTTTGCTTCCTGGGCGAGTGTGAATAGAAAACTAGGTGTAAGGCCAATCACTTACATAGCACAAGTCACCCAAATATAATCAAATATCTCGGCTAATAGCAAGACGGTGATGGTACATTACATCATATTCCATGGGAAACTCACCACCTCTCATGTCATACTGTTGTGCTTGACCCTTGTAAATGTGACTCATTGCAGTTATTAGGTCTAGTGAGTGGGAGTCAGACCTGGGTTTACAGGGCTGCCTGAGAGTGCATCACGTCCTCATGTTAATAATGTGCCTTTGTGGGGGGGTGGCAATCAGTCCACGACTGCGAGATGCTGTGGTATCGTGCCTCCCACTCGTTTTAGATGCATCTTTAGTGATATTATTCTGCAGCCAGCACTGGCCAGATTTAATGTCACTCATTTTTGAGGTCCCATTTATATCACTTAATAGTGCCTTCTAAGGGGAACTCTCACCTTTTCCTGCATGATGAGCAGGCTGCATCTTCCCATCCCTCCTGACACTCCTTGTGAACCCATCTGCACTTTTTTCTCCTTGGAATTCTGTTGCCTAGGTTTCAAACAGGATCCAGATGCTGCAGATCCAGGTGTGGAATTGTTGATATTTTACGACATCTATTTGATCTATTAACCTAATGTCTCAAAAACATGATCTTTTGCCTGCCAAGTAACCGTTCAACAAAATGCCCATGAATTTGGTTCTGATTACCATTAACCATTCTGTTAGCGTTTTTGTTGTATTTTTATAAGTGTTATTACCACTATGGATGTGTTGTTGTTTTAATGGTGTTAACCTCTCTTGCTCCACTGTCTTCACTGGTTTTTGACTATCATTCTATTGTATGACTAATATTTTCCTTGCAGTTAAAAACTGGTCAGATAAATGAGATATGTTGCTATGGTGACCATTGTTCCTTCTGTTTTAAATGTTTGATCATTCTAGACTTTATTCCACAGATATTTATATATTCATAAATGAATGTACTGAATGTATGTAAACACTTTGTGGTAATAGTGGAAAGTGTATGGCTCAAGGCATTTATCCAGGTTTGTTCTCTAACAAACTATTGGTTAATGTTGTACTTCGAGTTAAATTTCCATTGATTTCAAGGTTTATATCTTACAACATTCCATTAAAAAAAGTATCCTCTTAAACTGACTGAAAAATTCATCCCTATAACCACATATCTAGCTATGATCAAGATTAACCAAAAATGAACAGAAATTTAAATGTCATCAGTCCACTTGATTTGCATGTCTATATTATATATTTGCTTTGAAAGAGATCTATCCTCATTCACAAATAAATAGCGTGATTCTTTAGTGCAGCAAATCCAGATACTACATTCTTCATTCATTCATCAGTTTTGCAACAGGACAGCCTTCCTTCTGTTCATTCATGTTTTAATCCATGTTAATTTCTTGATTTACCAGCACTCAAAATAAACTGCTTCATTTATTGGTAGAAATTATCATTGATGAAGACACCTGGTGTTCACCAACTGGAACTGTCTGGTCCATCATAGCTAGTTTTTAGTCCACAATTATTTTTTTTAACTATACTCACATGCTTATTAAATTTATTAAATTATTAAATTTGCTTATTAAATTCATACAGACAATAAAAACAAACAAACAAACAAACAAATGTCACTAACACTGCCTATTCAGTGCAGAGTAATGGTGCAGAGTAATGGTGAGCCTGCAGCATTTTCCATGCAGCTCTGGGTCCAGGAAGGAGATGCTCTGTGCAGAGTGCAGCTCCATCGCAGGACATTAATGCCATTTCCTCATTTTGTCAAAACCCTTTTACCATTTGCACAGTAATTTACATTTACAATCTTATGGATGAAGTACATGTTTCAAAGCAACTAGTCTTACAAATGTTACGGCATTTTATATATTTTTTTCCTTTTCCCCTAAATTTTATTCTTAAGCAATATAATAATCTGACAGATCACGTATACAGTATGTATCTGATTTATTCTAAATGTACTGTTTTTGCATATGTATTGGTGTGCAGTCTGATACTTGTGTATGTTTATTGTAGTGGAGCAGTTTTTTCATGGCATGTCAATAAATACCACAGAAGCAAAGCCTTCTGTTGCAGTAATTACAGCGTAGATGCAGGGGCTTCCTATACACAGGCAGACAGACATGGATCAGTACATGTTTGGCTGCATTCTTTGCGGTGTGGCAGCTTGCCGGCTATCTTGCGTGAAATTAACATTTCTGAGACACACTTTATTGCACTGCCCTGGCATCAAGTGTTATCATTTTATGGCTTTGAAACTTATTTGGAAAGCAACTGCAAAGCATCAGTTAGCAGATGAAGACGTGAGACCTGAGTTCTGATATCTGCAACAAGTTTGGTCAGTATTCCAGCAGGCAGTGTCACGTATGTGCAGGTGAGCTATAAAGATGTTTCGAAATGGTTAATTTAAATGACTAAAAAAGCTACAAAATGGCAGAATGAAAAACTGCTGGCACTCTAAATGAAAAAAATCTACTATTATCAGAGGGAGACTTGATAGAAGGGCTTATATTCAGAAATGCAAACTTCCTGCTTTCTGCTTGATAAATATGTAGTATTTCTGTGGCAGTTTCAAAATTAATGAATCAATATGAATGTGTTCTAATTTTTACATTTTTTAAATTGAATATACACTCACCTAAAGGATTATTAGGAACACCTGTTCAATTTCTCATTAATGCAATTA